TGTTGAATGGTTTTAGCCATTATAGGTCCAAAATCTCTATAAACCTTGGCAAAACCCCTTTAGAATTCAAACATTTTTTAGTTACCAGCAATATGGTGTGACCAAAAAATATGGTGAATGTCGATGCTGAGTGCCATCCAACAGAAAAACAAGAAGCAGAAAGTTGTTAGCAACAGCATGTGACAAGTTTCAACTTGTTCAGTGCAGTTAGTCAGTTGTGAGCTACAGTTGAGAGAAGGTGTGTTTTAAAGTGTACTGTGAATCATGGATTGTGAGCAATGTATTTCATTATGGTGTGTTCTTATTCACCTTATTCACTGTATCTGGCACTGTGAAACTCCTGGCTCTTCTGGAAGTCAAAATGACCATGAAAGGTAAATGTTTTGAATTGATTCAGGACACCGAGGCAGCAGCAGACTGAAACACATTCATGAAAAAGGACTTCCAGAACTTCTTCAGAAAGTGGCAAGAACAATGGGATAGTGTGTTTCACGCAAGGGGGAGTGTTTTGAGGGAGATGAATGGCAATGTATCTTGTACTGTAATAAATTATAAGAAATTTAATCATCCACTATATTTTTAAATCACACTTTTAATTTTACACACCTTGTGTATTTTTCTAGCAGTTTATTTTGCTTGAACTTTCAAACATATGGGCTTAAATTACTGATAGTATTCTCTATTATCTTTTTAATTTGCTCTATCTCTATGTTCTTTTTGTAGTGTGAGTATGTGTGGGGGGGGGTTGTTAGCTGGGGATTAAACTCAGGGCCTTTACACTAAGCTACATGCCCATCCCTTTCCATTATAAGACAGGCTCTGGCTAAGTTCCCCAGATTGGCCTCGAACTTTCAATCCTCCTGCCTCAGTCTCCTGAAGTGCAGGGATTGCAGATATATATCACTACACCTGGCTCTGTCTTTATGTCTTCTTCTCTTTCCTCACCAATCTTGTAAGTTTTTCTATTTTTCTAAGTCTTTTCAAAGACACACCTTTTAGTTTTGTTGATTTCTCATGTGGTCTCGAAACCTCTATAATCTTACATCCAAATGTCTACATCTGCCTATAACTAGACTATCTGATGCGTATCTCCTAATTGCACCCTTAATTCCAACACAGCTTTCCTTATGGCTCAGGCTCTGCTTAACTAATTTTAGCTCCAGCTATCTCTTTTATTTAGGAAAGACCCTTATAAATGTAATGTTGTTTCAGTACTCCATGACTATGACAGCTTCCTTATACTTTACCTTGCTCAGTTGGTTTTATGCCACTGTAACAACCAATTTTTCCCACCTAAATTCTTTCCTCAAAAATCCAAAAAAATACTAGAAAGTGATCACTTTTTCACCAAGTTTTGTAAAACCAGCACCAAACTCTACAATCATTTCTTCTCAATCTATGTTGCCTTAAAATAATTTTATTTGGTCTATATCATAAAATATGCCTAATTAATTTTTACTCAGCAAATTTACCATTGTTTTAGGCATTGCTCTAAACAGCATTTCTCATAGCAGCTCTAAGAAGTATGATTATCTCCATTTTTCTAGATGGAGGTACAAAGAGTCATATACAGCTAGTGACTGAGCCTAGATTCAAACCTCAAAAGTCTGGTCTAAGCTATGTGCTCATAACCATCACACTGTTGCTTCCTTTCTTAACACTGTTTCTACCACAGGGTTATATATAATCTTCTAGACTAACATTTCAGCTCTTCAAATTTTTATATTCTTCAACAGTTTTCTGAAACATAAGACAATTTCAATTACTCAACTCTAGCTTATACAGTACTATGAAAAGAATTTCTAGACAAACTAAACTGCACAGTAGTCCAGCCATTCTGTAATGCATGAAGGAAAAATGCCATGAATAGATGTTACATAGCTAGCCCAAGAGACTCAAGAAATTTCACTGTAGCTATTTAAATTCAAAGCCCCAATACAAAACATAATTTTATGAAGTTGCATTATAACCTATATTTATCTTTTTAAGATCACAGGTTCAGAAACCAAACATTTATATGACACCAGAATTAAACATTAACTTACAGATCTAAAAGCTTCTACAGCATCATTTTTTCACTGTTCTTAGAGTTCAAATATATAGAGCATGAATTAAAGTAAGGTTATATAAAAATGGAAGGCAATTTTGAAAAAAACCTCTAAAACCTGAGACAGTTTATTCAGTTGAAAGCAAATTAAAAGCATGACAAAGTCAACTCACTATTTTAGTGCAAGTGAGAAAAAAATGACACAAAATGAAGAGAAGTATTTAACAAACAACAAATTAAGGACAAATTGTATTCAGTGAGCTTAAGATGCCACTGATTGTAAACAACACTATTATTTTATGGACCTCTAAAAAAGAACAAAAAAAATCTTGGTCCATTTAAATTATTATAGACTATCACCTGTTCAACACCCCTAGATTTCAGAAATGTGAAAAAAAATTGGATTTTAGAATGAAACATAAGTTATTAAACAGGATAAATAAGATATGATACTGAATTCAACTCAAGGAGCAATATAATTAACTGGAATTAGGTACCATGCTAAAAATTCCAGAATATAAATTTGGTATATTCCTTCTTCTACAGAGCTGAGAAATTAACACTGAAAAAAGCTTACAGTAATAATCAACATTGAATCACTGCAATACTCAGGCCTTTTAAATCTAATGATTCCATTGGTGTATATTTGATGTATAAACAAACTTACACAAACTCCCCAATGCAATAAAAAGATTGTTAACACTGCCCAGCGTTGTGGCACATGCCTGTAATCCCAGTATGTGAGAGGCTGAGGCAGGAAGATTGCTCCGAGTTTGAGGACAGCCTGGGCTACACAGTGAGTTCGAGGACAGCCTGGGCTACATATTGAGTTCAAGGCCAGCCTGAACTACATTAAGTGAAACCCTGTCTCAAAAACCAACCAACCAAAACAGTTAAAAATATGAAACTTAACCAACCAATTTTGATAAATATGCTAAGTGGAAAACCATATAATGACTACAAATATACTCTGAAAGACTGAGAAATGTGAAAAACATGACTATACTAATACTATTAAGAGAAAGAAGTTTTTGTTTTTGTACCAGGGACCGAACTCGGGTCCTTGCACTTGAGGGACAGGAGGTAGAACCACTGAGCTAAATCCCCAGCCTTATACTAATACTATTAAAGAAAAAAATTTTGTCTTGGGAAAAACTCAAGTTATTTTCTTTCTGAGACAAGGTCTAGTTATGCAGTTTAGGTTGGCCTTGAACTCACGGCGGACCTCCTGTTTCAGCCTCCAAAGTGTTGGATTAAGGTGCGTGCCATCATGCCTAGCCACGTGAAGTGTTTAATTGGAATGAGTCTGATACCTCCAAATTAATCTTAAGAGTGCTTAAAACAAACAAAAGTACACCAGTACACACTCATACTGCTCAATCAAGTAGGGCTAAATGTAAACAACTGGTAAATCTGGATTAAGGGTATATAAGAACTCCTTTACTATTTCTGCACCTACTACCAACACTGAAATTATATCAAGATAAAAAGTTGTCAATACAGTTGGACTTGTGAACATAAATGGAAAAGTAACACACAAACAGGAATTTAAAAATGAAAAGACTATGGATGTTTTTTATTAATAAGCATTAAGTAGTTTTAACAATACAGGTTGAGGGTTCCTTACTTAAAACTGCTTGGGATCAAGAGTGCTTAAGATTTTGAATTTTTTTCCCATTTTGTAATATTTGCACAAACATAATGAGATTATCTTGGGGATGAACCCCAAGTCTAAATAACAAATTTGTTTGATCCCCGTCATGCTGGGGATCAAAAATTGTGGATTTTGAAGCATTTCAGATTTTGAGAGTAGATATGCTCAACCTTCTATGAAAATGGAGAAAGAAAACTGAAGGTATTTTGTCTGTGGTAAAATATGTAAACGGGACTAGTGATAAAAGGTTGAGTGTAAGATGTCAGACATTTGTTAGCACCATATATATCATGAGTTAGACTATGTGCTATATGTCTAGATAAGTCTTAATAGTTTACATACTGAGTCAAAACTAATAATAGTTAATGATAAAATAAGAAAATCCTGTAGCTTATACTTAGAAAATAAAATGCAAACTATCCAACTATAATGTGGCAGTTGCTGTATGTGGGAAAACTATCTAGACTAAAGTTAATGAAAATATACTTGTCCTTATTTAGGTCTGATATCCAACAATCAGCTGCAGTATTTAAAATTCATATAACTATGGATTTAAATGATGAAACATTCAATACATTAGAAAAAAAAGCCTACTGAATGCTATTTTAAGACTTTAAAACCCTGAATAAAAGTCTATGTGAAATCAACTGCCAAATATTAACAGAAACTGCTGAAATACTATCATTTAAAAAAAACTAATAAAAATAAGTTATATGTAACTTTAATAGAAGCCTACTGAGTGCTGTATTTAGGTTCCTAAAGCTTAATAGTATCAGATAAATTAAAGTCTGTTAAAAATGTAAAAACAAAAACTTGCTATTTGGTCAGAATTCTATAATTTAAATTTGAGAAGCTTTATCTGTATGCTTTCAAGCAGTTTAAAACTGCCCACAACCTGTAAAACTAATTTGCTACAATTTTATTCAACTGTTAATATCCCTGAGTGAAACAGGTATTATACCAAATTAGTATTCTAGAATGGATAGGTCAGAATGGAAAAACAAACAAATAGGACTGTAAATAGGAAAAAAAAAAACCTTTCTATTTGGGTTTCTGTAGAATGCATAAACATATTCACCTAGAATTTTATTAAGTCAAAAGATGTACCACAAATAAAATATAAAATGCACTAACAAAAATAATTTGCTCCTCAACACAGTCAAAAAATTAAAGAGGTACTAGCTATATTTGTAAAATAATCTTAAATTTCTGCAGATGCCAAATTTATCTTTAAAACTTCATTATCAAAGGCAAATACAATCATCTTTATCAACATCCCTTACCATCAATTAAACTTACCTTTTTATCTTCTTTTACTTTGTGAGTTTTCTTCTTCATCTTCTTATCATCTACCTCCTGGTCAGAAGTGATTGCAGGATTATCAATGCCACCTTTCCAAGTTTCAACAGGAGAAAGAAGTGGATCTTCTTCACTACCACGATGTCTTCCTTTTCTTTTTGTTTTAGAAGTAGTGAAAGCTTCATCATCACTTGCATCTGAGTGTGTTCTTCTATAGTATGACTTGGCTTTACTAAACAAGGTTTTAGATTTATATTTGTATTTTGAAGGCCTCCGTTCCCCATGACTTTTTGAGGGTCTATCAGAAAATCCATTTTCCTCATCTCCTTGGGTATTATTTACAAATGAGTTTCGAATTTTAATAACCCGAGTTTGACTATCATCTGGAACAACATAAATCTCATCAGAATAGCCCTTCTGTTTGAAAATTGTGTCAATGGGTTCCGCATAGTTATCTGAAGAATCCACATCTTCAGGATGTGCCAAAGGTACCCGAGAAGTCTGTTTTCTTGGATTTTTACCAATACCAGCTTCAATTGTTTTTAAAAGGTTTGGATCCAGTTTTTTCACATTCGTCTTAGGTACAACTGGTTTAGGTTTAATAGGTGGAGGCACTTTATGGTTGCGTTCATGATCGTGACAGTTTGGGGTACTATGAACAGGATATTCATTTCCTTCCAAATCTAATCTGTATCTGGAACGGTCACTGGGTGTTGGAAGCAACTGTACATCATCACCAATTGGACTATAAGGAGGTGGTGCTTCTGTATCATCATCTGAATCGGGATAACTGTTATAGGGAAAACAATCTCTGGGAGATGGTAGGAAAACATCTTCACTTTGGTGGGTTGACTCCCTTGTACTATCAGACAGATAGGAATTTTCTATCATATTTTTTTTCTCAAGAACATCACTGAAAAACAGAGTAAAGACCTCAGTTTGCCGATGATATTGAGATAAAGAATACAATGCTGTAAATTTAGCAGTGATCTCAGTTGCAATGTGTTCTCCTTCAGTCATTAATTCCTTGATAGCCTCATTTTCAAAAAAATCTGCTTGACTGTCGGTAACTGCCACCAGTTGTACAGGAATGGTGTCTTGAACTTCTGATAGAAATGCTCGAAGCATTCCCATTGATGCTTTCCGTTTAGCAGAGTAAACTAATATATACCCATGAACCAGTTCATCCTTCCTTACTCCAATTGAGGAGTGATATGATAATATTGTGATCTGTATTCGCCTCCTTTTTTCACCAATAATTTTATCAAGCATCAGGGAATTATTCTGTCCAGCTTGGGCAGCACTGCAAGAATGAGAATCAAGGAAGGGTGAAAGAATAAGATCCACACTAAATGGATCACCGCACATGGCACACATGACAATTCTTAAGTCTGCTTCCGATACATCCTTATTGGTGGGAACTGGGCTCACAACATCTAAATTGTGTTTAACTGATTCCAATACTCCTCTTAGAGCTTGCTTTATTTGGGTTTCATTAAATTTACGAGGATATGTACCAGCAGGTACATCTACAAAAGGACACTGTAACTTGTTTGCCAACTGCTGACCTTGGTGCCTGAGAATTGGTAAATTCTTACTAATGGAATCTCTCTGGTTAGCCAGAATTAATGTAAAAGGAAGATTAGCCATATATTTATCTTTTCTGATTTGAGAAGCTTCGGTTCTTATTTTTCCAATAAATTCTCCAATAAAACTCAATGACTCAATGGAATTGAATACACAGAAGCACCCATGAGGCTTAAAGGCAGCAGTCCATAACTGACTCAAAATGTAAGGCGATTTGGCATCAACAGGTCGAAGATCAAGTTCGTAAATTTTTCCATCTAAGGCATATTCATCATCAGTGGACTGTGTCCTTATCTCATTTGCTAGTTCTTGGGCAAGGCCATCTTTCCCTAAAATGAAGAGGTTAACTTTATCTATATTGGTACTATCATGGTATAATCGTAAGCGACCATGATCCAACTGCAAAAGACTACTAGCAAGCAATTGCTCCACTTTAATGTCTGTACAATTTTGGCCACTAAGGCATGTTTCCTTAGTGGGATGATAAACAAATCCTATGTGTTTAAGCAGAAGAGATTCCCTATCAGGTGCAAGTTTCTGTAAAGCTTTGTATCTAGGTTCTTCACTTAGAACTGTATGAATCTCACTCATTTTATCTGAACTTGGTGTTGCATTAAGATCTAAATCATAAAAAAGTTCAGAATGCTCAAAAAGCATTTCCTGAAACTCTTCTTTGGCTTTTTCAACTATCTCTCGCTGATGCCTACTATATACCTCTTTACTATCTGCCTCAGTGATATATTTGAAGGATTCATCTTCCATAACAAAGCACATAACTTCCTCCCATGGCTGCCCAGGTGAAATGAACTGAATCTTTTCCAAAGTCTTTTTGAATTTTTCCTTCATTTCTACTCTCCTTTTCTCTGATATTAGATGCTGTACATGGTTCTGATAGACTTTTTCAGCTTCTAAAGTGCTCAGGAGGTCAAATGGGATCCGTCTATCATTAACTTTGTCTATATGGTCAGTTTCATCCCAAGGTGTTTTTTCTAGCACCACAAAACATAACTGGAAATCTGTTCTCTTCTCCATTAACTTCAAAGCTTCTGACCAATTCAAATGTTCAATTTCTTCTAGATTTGGCAAAAGAGTGTTAAAAGCTCTTGGCAGGGTACTTATATATTCCTCTCTTCTTTTTCTTATATGTTCCTGTTTAAGTTGTTCTATATGTTTTGAGAATGTATTTCTGGCTTTTCTTGTTCCCTCTAAATTGATGTATTCTTCATAATCAGGATGGTTTTTTAATTTATTACTAACAGTTTTCCATGTTGCATGATAATCTCTCACAGTCTGCACAAGTTTTTCAAACTTATCTGTTGCTGTGACAACAAGTTGTCTCTGTGTTTTATACGCATCCAGATAGGGAATAATTTTAGGCTTGCCACGAGTTTTATCCAACATTTGTACCAGCGCAATGAAACATGTCTCAATGTTGACATTAAATCGTGCTGATGTTTCCACTACAAGAAGGTTCTTTTTGTTTGAAGCAAATGCCTGAACTTCTCTAAGATAATGATCCACACATTCATCACATTTAGTTGCTGCTATTATTACAGGTTTTTTTGATTTTGATAGCTGAACAAAAAGGTTATTCACAAATTTAAGTTGATCATCAAATTTCCTATTGCATCCCTGACTTACATCAATGCACAATAAAAATCCATCTACATTCAGCTTTCCCTCAGGCATTTGCTTCTGCTCAAAGTCTTGCTCTAAACCTAGCTGATCAGTGCAAATGTACATTAGCTTTTCTGCTGACTGCAACTTAGAGGCAGCTGCACGTTTTATATATGGTTGCAAATTCGTACTCCGATGTGGCAAGAAAGTCTGGTCATCAATGAACTCTGTTTGTTCAATGACATGAATTTTGCATTCTACTCCATCTTCACCATTTTGTGTTATGTCACCCCAGTATAAAAAGTGATCATTGTTTACTACTCGTCCTCCAAAGTCAATGGTGCTAAGCACAGAAGTATGTTCTGGATAATATTCATCTGCTTTTGAGCGTACAAATCTATTGCACAAACAAGACTTTCCAACTCCACAGTTACCTTTGTCCTTTTCAGTCCCAGAGAGTCCAACTACACTGATAGTATAGGATGGGGGACGAGGCTCTTTGTTTTTTGCCATCATAACTCTCTTCTCATGTCTCTACATTCATAAAGGTAACCACATACACTCCTCATTCTGAAAATAGAATCATCTTAAAATACAGATCCCAAATTTCAGAGCTGTGTTTGGTTCTTTGTATATCCCTCATTTCTGCGCAGACAGATCTTCAAGATTATATGAATCATCTTCCTAGAAAGAAAGGGGAAAAAGACAAATCTTAATAATGTACTATATACAACATATTTTAGTAAAAGTGATAATGATAAAGCACATTCAAGTTAATAATCCTAATAATAATGTTACCTATGTTTTTATGAAATCACTACATAAAGTCTGGTTTACTGGAACAAATGCAAGATGATCTCAAACTTTAACACAAACTTAACAAAATAAATACAAAATCTAATGTAATGTTTCATAAACTTTAAAATAAATCCCTCTTAACTATATGTGCATTTTTGCCTCTAATTACTCCTTCCTATGGGTTTAAGGAAAACAACTAATGGTTTCTACTCTTAATATTCCTGTCTTCTCTGAGGCTACACTAGTAGTAGCCTTCTCTAGGCTACACTGCTTTAGCAACTCCCTCACAACTTTTAAGAAATACAAAACCACCTACCATACTTTCTATTACAGATATCCTCAGAATGTACTCCCTAAAACCGAAATTTACATAAAGTTAGCAAGATTTTAGAATTTTAAAATGTTTTCACTAAGTTCCATCCTCCTCCTGAGGAATCTATCAAACTTTATATGCCCCCAATTAATAATATTAAGATACTTAAATGGGGAAACAGAAATAAATGGGCGGGTGATAGGAGTGTAGTTCAGCAGTACAGCACATGCTTATTACATGCAGAAGGTCCTGGATTCAATTCCCAGCACACAAAAAAATGGACATTTAATATCAAAGGTAAAACTGATTTTTATTTCATATCTATAAGATCAATTGGAAAATACAATAAATAAAAATTTTAAAAATCCAAGTATTCATTTTTATTAGATTCGAGACATTAAATTATTTCTAAATGTTTTTGATTTCTACATTTATTTCCTCACAGAGTAGTTTCAGCTCAAGGACCACATTTTGAGTAGCAACAAGATAAATCATTTTGAGATTATATATTTGAGACAATCTTTTAGAATTATTTGACAAATATGAACATTACCATTCAAGAACTACATGAAATTTAATTTTGGTCACATATTTACATGTAAACAATCAGTCTTTAAAAATTTTTACTTGGAGATTCTTCATATCCTTATGAGGTAGAATTAAAAGCAATACATCATTTCTACCACCTCAAAATTTCACAAGATGGGAAAGAAATATCTAATAATGTACATGAACATATATGCAAATTATCTCCAATCCAGACAAAATGAAGATTATAAAGAACACAAAAAACATTATGTAGGGCCAGGGATTTAGCTCAGTGGTTCCTCTGCCTGCCTCACAAGGGCAAGGACCTGTGTTCGATTCTCAGTACAAAAAAAAAAAAAAAAAAGTAAAGATTACATTAGCCATTCCCCTCCAAACAGCCAGCTGCTCCCTGACCTCAACTGCAAGGAAACATCTGATAATAGGGAATATGCAGTATGACCAAAACTATGTTGAACATTAAAAAAAATTTTAAATATATTACAGTAAAAGATACATTGCCATCAGTACCCTTCAAAATACAACCCCTTGCTTCAAACACACTTATCCCATCATTCTTGCCACTTTTGGAAGCAGTTCTAGAAGTCCTCTTTCATGTCTTTAGTTGTACTGTCATGGTTGCCTTGATGTCCTCAATCAATTCAAAATGTTTACCTTTCACGGTCATTTTGACTTCGGGGAAGAGCCAGAAGTCCCATGATGCCAAATTTCCTGAATAACGTGGATGAGGACACACCGTAAGGTTTTTACAAGACTGCCTTTCCACTGGATAACAGTTTGCTACAGTGTTCACTATATTTTTTGATCACTTATCATAAAGACACTCATAAAGAGAACATCCAGAACTGTTTCAGAAAGTGGCAAGAACAATGGGACACATTTGTTCTAAGTAAAGGTAAGTATTCTGAGGGGAATTAATGGCAATGTGTCTTTCACTGTAGATTTTTAAAAAATTTAAATATTCACCATATATTCTGATCATCCCTTGTACTGTACTTGCTATATGCTATACTAATGGTGAAGAGAAATTGTTCTTGCAATTTAAAATTCTTGACATATTTCTGGTAAAATAAAAATAATTTTAAAAATAAAGTTGCAGGTTTATTCTTGTAAGTTTCTTGTATGAGGCTCAACTAAATTATAAGCCATTTGATGGGAAAAATCTGTATAAACGTAAGAACTAAATCATTTTTTAAAATGCGAACCAACAGCCAAGGCTTGGGGCATGTACATGTAATCCCAGCACTCTGGGAGGTTAAGGCAGGGTAGTGTAAGCCGAGCTGAGAAAAAAGAATAACTTAATGAGATGCTACCTTAAAATAGAAAATAACAAAGTACTTAAAGCAAACAAAAGGGGCCTATTAAAAATTAGTTACATTTATCTTGATTCTTAGAACCATAGGAAGCTGTTTATGATGTATGAAAAATGATGTGATCAGATTTATAACTTAAAAATATTTATCTGGCAGCAGTATACACAAGACCAACAAGGAACTGAAGCAGTCCATCAAATTCTATAACGTGTAATTAATTAAATAAAAAATTTTAGAATCCCAATCTAGCAAAATTGAATATTTTTATTCGGCATCAAGTTAAACATTCTTTATCTAAACTGTAAAAGAACAGTGGAAATGTTTATTTACAGATATTTACAGAAAACAAAGCACAGGATATTAACTGGATAACAATGTTACACCCAGTGGCAAAGACAGAAATTAGTTTAGGAATATAGCACAATGATTTCACAGTTAACAAGAAAAAACCCAAAAACAATATAGATCTTTTTTTACTTGAAAAGCAAAAGCTGCAGATGATATACTTTAAAATGTACATCAAAAGAAAAGTTCTCTAGTGATTACTCTGGAGAATTTTTACTTTAAACAATATAAACTCTTGAATTTAAATAAAATTGAACTCTTTATTAAACAAACACCTACTCTGAAAACTAAACATAATTCAAAGATGTTTAAGACCGTCCCTTGGCCTCCATGTAAGAGATACAAACTAGTTAAGAGACATAAACTGGTTAATAGAAAAAATAAACTTTCAACTAAAACTTAACCATTTAGTAACATCTTCAGTAAAGTTTTTTTATATGTTTATCCAAACACAATGTAATTCTTAATACTTTTACTCATTTAAAGTTAAAACTCATGGTTGGGCTACAGCTCAGTGGTAGAACATTTGCCTACCACGTGCAAGGCCCTAAGTACAAGACACTGACTTTCCCCCTATAGCATAATCCACTAAACGCTGAGATATACATAACACTCTACAGCTTAAAACAGCAAGGTAAAAACAGAAATGAAATTCTCTGTCACTGGGGCTGGGGATTTAGCTCAGTGGTTCCACTGCCTGCCTCGCAAGCGCAAGGTGCCGTTTTCGATCCCCTGTACCAAAACAAATACTGTCATAAAATGAATTTTAAAGGTTTGGAAAGAAAGGGGATTAAAATCAAATGGAGGTAAATGGAGGTAGGAAGCCATCATCCTGAAACTGGTCACTAAAAACTGGAAAACTAAGGGATAAATAAAGCTATTCTATTTAGGTTAAATTTTAATATTACAGCTTTAACAGACATCATCAGCTTGACAGTGACAATCTCTAAATCTGATTATTAAAGTTTAAATTAAAAAACAAGGTAGTTTCCTGCAATTTAAAGTTTTCACAATTCATAGTAAACTGCCAGTAAGACAAACTGAATAGCCAAGTCCTAACAATTCTGTCAGGCAATCTATCTGCTGGTATCCCGAAGTCACAAAGACCTTATGATGAGCCACCATAGAGTGACTTTTTAAAATTATAGTGGAAAAATTTTTTCACTTAAGAGGTGGCAAAGAGGTATGTTAGATAAATAGTTGCTCTTTCTTTTCATCTCTCACCACAGCAGGGTTTATACCTAATTTACAAGTTTAACATATTCCTGGAAGCTTGAACAAGTGGTGGTACATGTAACACCAGTGGTACAAGCCATCAGATAGGATAGTCAAGCATGTACTGGTAGTTCAGCTGTCTGGCAATGAGACATATCAATTATAAGAATTATGGCCCTCTCATGAATGTTAATTAACCCAGAAACTTTAGGGCAAATACTTTTTAAATTAAAAAAAAAAAAGTCTGAGAAACTGCAGACTAGAAAGTAATTGTTGTCACCTTCTATTCAAGAAAATTTGCTATTTAGGTGACTATCGTAAGCAATACCATAATAAACCTCAAAGGAGAGTTATAACTCACGAAGTTGGCCCTAACAGATAACAGAATTTCATTTTAAACATTAGGACAATTTATACATACATGAATTATCCACTGGCCTTTAACAATTTGATCAACACTAACTAAATAAGGTAGCTAGTTTTTTTTTTCTTTTTGGTGCTAATAACAAAAATCTTTTTTTATGTTCCCACTAAAAAACTAATGGCTACTACATGCTCGCTTCGGCAGCACATATACTAAAAAACTAATGGCTACTACTTTCAACTACTATTTAACTTGAAAATTCTTTTGAAATATGATTAAGAGTAATATGTGATTGTAACAATTTATTTCTTTAAATTATGTCTTCTCTGTTATTACATCTTCTGTTTTTGACAGTAACTTGCTCTGATAGCATCTAGAATCATACTTATTTTTATTAAGAAAGAAACCCTAAGTAGCAATGACCTACACAAAATTAAACATTTAAGACCCAAGTTTCCTCATGCTCAATCTTAGTATTCTTTTTGTTTTGGTTTTTTGGTACTGGGGATCGAATTCGGGACCTTGCACTTTTGAGCCCAGCGCCAGAACCACTGAGCTAAATCCCCAGCCCCTTAGTATTCTTTTAAATAGCATACAATGTAGTCTCTCCTTTTCTTGTGGTACCGGGGATTGAACTCAAGACCTTGTGCTTGCTAGGCAGGAGCGGTGCTGCTGAGCTACATCCCTGGCTCTCTCCTTTTGTTTTTAAGATTACTTCAGAAATGCTTTATTTCAAGGAAATTTTCAGTAACTGTCTACAAAAATTAATGACAGCATACATTTGGGAAAA